CCAGGGACACTCTGTCTTCATTCCTTTTAATATGAACACAAAGCCTGAGGTCCCCTTGAGGGGGCAAAGCATCTCTGAATTAACACTTGGGCATTTATATGTGTGCATTATCTTTTTTTTTCCTGGAGATGAGCGACAGGAGCTCTCTCTCACATAACTTATGCCAAGCCTGCAGCTCAAGCCGTGCAGGAATTAGGATCACAGGGCTGTCTCTGCAGCCAGCAATAAGGAAAGGCTGCTGGATCAGCAAAGAAGCAGAGCACTGCACCCTTGGGCACGGGGTTTCAGCCCACAGCCATCAAAGGAGATCAGACATCACCTTCAAGCTGTCTGCTGGAGCTCCTGCTTCCCACTGCCCTTCTGCTTGTGGGGAAACTGAGGCACAGGCAGAGGGAACAACTTAAATTGATCCACAGAGCCCAGCTGAACAGGCATCTGTTTGCACTAGGGACAATGGCAGCATATGTGTATGATTAGTTTAGAGTTTTTTTAAGGGAACTGGAAAAGCCTCACCCAGTTTAGATGGCTAAGCTGGGTTTAGGTAAACCCAGTGCCAAAGTTGTGTCAGGGGAGGTTTAGGCTGGATACCAGGAAAAGGTCCCTGCTCAGAGGGTGGAAAAGGCTCCCCAGGGAATGGTCACAGCCCCAGGGCTGCCAGAGCTCCAGGAATGTTTGGACAATGCTCTCAGGCACAGGGTGGGATTGTTGGGGTGTCTGTGCAGGATCAGGAGCTGGACCAGATAATCTTGGTGGATCCCTTCCAGCTCAGAATATTCTGTGATTCTGTGATCCCACAGCAGCCACAGCTCTCCTCTTGTTCACTGGCACAGGTACTGGTGCAGCACTTTTCCTCCCTAGAACCAGGACAAGCTTAAAAAACAAAACCTCCCAGGGAAACAGGGAATTGAGGGCTGAGCCCTTGTTCCAGGCAGCAGCAGCAGCATCTCAGAGCAGCATCTCTGCTGCACAGCTCCACTCCCCCGCTGCCATCCCGAGCCCACAGAGCACCCACACAGGGACAGCTGCTCGTGGGCTCAGCACACTGCCCCCACAGCTCTGGGAAAGGAGAAGGCACAGCTCCCAAGTGCTGGGCTAGGAAACCTTGGGATAAACACCTCAAAGGAGGTAAATCCGGGTCAGCCCTCCTGCAGATGAGCTGGGTCACACTGGGCTGCCCCGAGCCAGTGTCTGCAGTGCCACGTGGGGACCGGCAGCGCTGCCAGCAAGGTAAAACTAAACAAACCAGGAAGTGCAGAGTCATCTGCCATCTCCTGCTGCCTCATCCAGGCTGCCTGCAGTCCTGGTCCTTCAAACCCCCCAGCCAGAGGACAGCTTTACATGGAGAATTATCTCAGTGTGTTTAAAGAGCTGTGCCTGCAGAGCTCCTCACGCCAGGGCTGCAGAGCTAAAGGTTCCTCAGACCAAACCTCCTTCCCTCAGCCTGCTCATCCCAGGTCTGCCCTGCTGACTCACACTGCTGTGACTCAGCTGGGGACACGGTGGCACTTTGGGCACAGCTGCCCGGGGTGCAGAGGGCCAGAAACACCCTGAGGAGCCCCGGAGCTCCCACTGCTGCCCTGGCTACTGGGACTGCAGAGCACCGACCCCAGCCCACTCCTGCTGCCTCTGCCCCGGCCCCCTGCCCCACCTTAGGGAGCAAGAGATGAGAGTTCAGGCCCAGGATTCTGCTCACATGAAGGTAAAAAGGAAAAATGATCACTCAGGGGTGCAAGGCTGGGAGGTGTGGGCTGGCCAGCCTGGCATGGTGACCTTCTCCAGCAGCACTGATCACCTTCACTCCTCCAGGCTGGGAGGTTCTGGTTTCCCCAGAGGACACACAGCACAGCCTTCACCTCCAGGGCCCAAATGATGCTGAGAGATGCAGCTGGTGGGGGCAGCTCTCGGCTGGGGCTGTATCACCGTGGGCTGAGGCCACTGCCAGGCACCCTTGCCACTTGTCACTGTCCCCAGAGCCCTGCAGCAGGCACAGAGCCCTTCCAGCTCAGCCCGTGCACCCACATGAGTCACCGTCCTCATTCTCCACCACTCTGACCTTGACCATGGCCCTTGAAACTTCAGCTTCTTTCTCCACCCTTCCTCTATGGACTGTGAACACTTCCAGGCCACAGCTATCTTTAGCACAGCATCCAACCCAAAGAAATGTGCTTTTTTCTGAGGTTTCTAGGCGTTAACCACAGCAGGGACAATTCACTCCCCCTCTCCTCCTCTCTGAGCAGCCCAAGACTCCATCCAGCCACACAGCAAGCTCCAGCTTGAGCCACACACAGCTTTTCATCTAACAAAAAAACCACCCAAACCAGAGCACAGAAATCCTCTGCCATCCCACAGGGGGATCTGTGTGGATCTTCCTAGATAATCAAATTTAAACCACCACCAAAACAGACCTTTGATTAGCAGCCATGGAGCCCATTCATAGCGACAGCATGTCAGGTCAATGTTCACTCCCAAAATCAACTCTGTGCCTCAGGAAAGGGATTTTTTTAATTTTTGTTTGATGGTCTGCATTTGAGGTCTAGTTAACAAACAGGGGACTTGGGTTGCCATCTGGCCAGCCTGAGAGTGTGCTGAGAAATAATACTAATAATCATCATATGGTGGTGCTTTAAAAGGCACTTTTACAAAAGCCTGACTGAAACCTAAGAGGCATCTCTGTGTGCCCCGAGGGCTCAGCCTTTGGGCACTCTGCCACTCCAATCAGCCACCCCTTAAAAGGGTCAGAGTCCAAAATCTCTGCTGCTGTTTCACTCATTGGAACAGCCATGGCTTTCCTTTGAAGCCTCACACAGGAATTCACTTGTGCAAGTCGAGCTGGGCTGGTGCTTTATTAAATAAATAAATAAATAAATAGTACAACTCGGAGGATTTTTTTCCATGTCAACAAAACAGTAGCTGGTTGCTGGTGTTGGGCAATGCCTGCGTGTCTCATCCCGAGCACAGATTGCCCCAGGGACACGTCCTGCTTCTCCAGGGACTCCTCAGCAGCCACCCAGGGCTCCCAGCAGGAGAGCCCAAATCCCTTCCTGCATTCACAGGCACATTTCCCTGCAGTGCACAAGAGGCTCTGCCACCCACCAGGACAGACACCACACCCCCGGTGCCAGCCCCACCCGTGCCAGCTGCAGGCTGGCAGGAGCTGTGCCCAGCCCTGTGCCCACCTGAACACAACAGGGGCCAGGGCAGCACCTGCCCTGCTGGCCTTTGTGTCCCTCTCCATTTTCCCACACACATCACACTACACACCCACCTCGCAGCCCTTCTGATGCCCCCAGCCCTCTGACACAGACAACTGACCTAATTTCCCTCTTTTTAAACACCCAGAGGTCATCTCTGTCTGCAGCAAACCCCTCTGAGCAGGGAAGGGAAACAGAGTGAGCTCTGTTTGCAGCATCCCTCCCCCCCAAATCTCCCTCCACATCTTGCCCTGTGCTGTCTCTTCTAAACGGCTGAGAATGAGCATCTCCCACGTCCCTCAAGGCTGTGAAATGGTGCAGAGGAGAGGCTGGGGAGGTCCCTGCTGTTTCTGGCTCCAACTCCACCTCATTCTCCTTCACGACTCAGAGCATCTCACCTGAAGCTCCCAGGGGCGTTCCTTGGCTCACCCCATGCTGTGAGACATGGGGAGACACCAGACATGTCCATGCTTCACCCACTGCCCAGCAACTCAGAGCTGGGCCAGAATGCTCCCTTCCAGTTAGCCCAGTTGCTCCAGCAGCACTTTCCCTCCTCTCCCAGTTCCCAAAGATAAGATTTGCCCCATCTGTCTTTCTGCCCAATTTGCCTTTCCAGTAGATCTGACCAAAATCACGCTTTCAATTCTGTGGCAAACCCTGATGCTTCCAGGCACATCTTCCCTACAACAGCCACTAAAAAAAAAAAAAAAAAAAAAAAAAGTGGAAAAACTTCATGCTTTCCACCCCCAAGAATCACCTCTTTTAGTAAGAAGGTCACTCTCCTCAGCTGGAGTGCTACTTTTAAGTTCTGAATTGTCAGAGCTTATGCAAGCAGAAAAATGCAGCATGGAAACAAAAAGGAAGGACATCAACAGAGGGTTTGGGCGTTAGGGAAAAGATAATGTATAAAATAATTACAGGCAGCATGTCCCTGCAGAGCATTTTGACTCTGACTCAGCCCCTGCCCTGGCAGGGAACTGCAGGTGCTCAGCACACGCTGAGCCCAGACCCAGCCCTGGAAGACAAGAAGGCAGCAGCAGCCTGGGAAGGCTGGAAGTTGCTGCAGGGTGCTTGATGAGTTCTCCCCCAAGGAGAGACTTTGAAACTCGCTGTCCCCATGAGCTCAAGTTGGAGACTCAGTGGGTCAGGCTGATCTTGCAGGAATTGGGATCCCCTGAGCCCAGCCACAGATCTCCAATGGCTGACGGATCAGTGCTTGGAAAATAATTGCGTGCCAGCTTTTACAAGGCAAGATGGGAGGGTGGGTGAGGTGAAATGGAGAGGAACACATTCATTATACAGGAGCTCCAAGCATCAGCTCTGGTGCCTGTAAACACCAGGCAAGGCAGGAGCTGACTCTGCTGTCGGGCTGCAGCTTCCACCCCAGTGCTCAGCAAGGGCAGAGCACAAAGCCTTGCCTGCCTGTGGCATAAAACCCATCCCTTTGGAAAATAAACCCCTCCAAAGCCCCCTGCTCCACCCCAGCCTCTGCTCCCTTCCCAGCTCAGGCGTGAAGGCAGCCCTGCCCAACAGGGACTAACAGATGCACAGGGCATTAGGAGAGGTTCTGCTTCCATGCCACTCCAAAACACAAGTCAACTCCCCTGGGGACTGCCAGGGCTTTTGCCATAGCCAGGGATATTTTTATAATTCAGCTCTTGAAAGAGCAAGAATCATCTTCATGAATTTTTATAAGACCAGCTTCCCTCCTGCTTATTTTTTTTTTCCCCTTTTAAACACCAGCACAGACGACAAGACCCTCTCTTGCCCAAAACCCAAATCACCCCCAGTCCCAGCAGCGTTACTCACTGGTCACACTGGTCACTGGTGGCTCCTGCAGGGCTGCAGCTGCAGGGCTGGCACTGCTGGCCCCCCTGCTCGGGGAAGAAGCCGTGGGCACAGCTGTGGCAGTGCAGCCCCGTGTAGCCAGCCTTGCACAGGCACTGCCCCGTCGTGTGGTTGCACCCAGCACTGCCCACCGAGCTGCAGTTGCACAGGTGTCCTGCAAGGAAAAAGAAACAGAGAAGTCACAGAGCTGCACGATGGTTTGGGTTGGAAGGGGATATAAAGATCAGCTCACTCCAACCTCCCTGCCATGGGCTGGGACAGCTCCCAGGTTGTTCCAAGCCCCATCCAACCTTTGGACACTTCCAGAGATGGGGCAGCCACAGCCAGGGCCTCACCACTCCCTCTGCATACCCCATCATCACTTTAAGGATGATTTTTGCTTTAAAATGTTGAGATGATGGGGAAAAAAAAACCCACATTGGGAGCACCCTGGGGTTTGAAACACTACAGTTCATGCTTGAAATCTCTCCAAAGAAGGGCTACAAGATTATGAGTATAACTACCTAAAATACATCTATATGTAGCTATATATATGTGTATATAGTATACAATGTCTTTATGTATATGCACACACCTATCCACCCTCATGGCAAGCAATAACTGTGTAATATCAGGATAAAATCAGCAACAGGTTGCAAAATCATTAATTCTAAGAGCCTCCATTCCACACCACTGGAACAGCCCTGATTTACCACAGAACATACACTGGCATGACAAACTGGCAGCAGCATTCCCACTCCTGAAGAAGGAACACCGAATTCCCTGAAAATCTGCTCTCAGGGGAGCATGAAAATTACTTCAAAAGCTGTGGTAGAGCTGGAGGCAGGACAGAGACCCCCACCAATAAAACAGACCACCCTGAGTGCTGTGGGGAGAGGGGATGGCTCTGGGGATCCAAGCATGGTCTTTGGGGACACTGTATTTCCAGGGGTGCTGGAACAGCTGTTTTTTTAAGAGAGAAGCAAATCTTTTGATCAAGTGATGAATTCCCAGTCCCCCCACACATTATTTCTCATAACACTTTAAAGCCCCAAACGCACTGAAGAGAACAACTTCTCCCTGGCAATTTGTTTCTGCCAAGAGCTTTATCTCTGTTCTTTCATTGCAAAATATTTAGTGCCTTAATAATTTAAAGTCTTTTTCTGCCAAGACTGAATTATAAACAAGGATTATTTGCAGAAATAGTGCATAAAGCATCAGGGGCTTTACACAACTGCTGGTGTTTGTTATTGCCTGAGAAGAGCCAGTATTCAGGGCACTTCAGGGAGAGGGGAGAGGCCAAGTCCCCATCCCAAGAAAACGTGACTTAAAGCTCTTTCCCTCATCATCTGTGTTCTTCTAGCACACAAAGAAATGTGAGTTATTTAGCTTTATTGCTCCACCATAGGATCCTCACAGAAGCTATGTTGTCCCTATATACCTGTGAAATTGCACCTAAATTTTCTTCAATCCAAACTATCAAATAGGACAAACACCTCAAGATCTGCAATTATCCACTTCAGCAGCCACTTCACATAACAAACTGAATTCCCAGCTCAATTATCCATGCAGAACCATATTGATTTGGGCACTTGGGCTTCTCCCTGCCACCAGAACAGAAACCACGAAAACTTTTTGTGCAAAAGCACTTTTGGAGCTTGTCAAACACGCATCAAAACAGATTTCTCTTTCAGAACTCAACGTGTGGTGCCATTAGACCTGCCAGACTGGATTAAGGAAAGAAAAGGAGCATTGTGTCCGTTCTAAGGGCATGGGAGGCACTGACAGGGCAGGTCCCACACTGGGGGATGAGCTGCTCCATGTGGAGACCATCCTTGTGCTCCAGGAGCATCAAAGGCAGAGCCTGAGACCGTGGATGGAGAGGGCAGGAGTGGGGCAGTGCCTGAGGATGGTCCCCATGGAGCTCTGCCCCATCACTCATGCTCCAGCAGGATGGCAGCACTTTGAACCTCAATCTGACTTTGTAGCACCCATTGCTTTCCATCCAACACTCCAGCCCATCAAAATTGGCCCAGTTCGGGTCAGGCTCTGCCTCAGCTGCCAAATTCAACAGCAACACAAACACCACTGCAATGCCAGTTCCCCAGGAGAGCAAGAAATTCTGCAACAACCCAAAACAACACTGGCAAAAGCATCTTTTGCCCGGGAGGCTGGTGGAGCTGGGTTCTAGCAGTGATGGGGACAGGAGCTGAGCCTGTGTGCTGCAAAATCACCCCAAGTGCAGGGCAAGGCACAACACAACACATGCAGAAGTTGTCTCCCAAAAGGAGATTCCCTGCAGACTCTACCTCCCCCAGCCACCCCAGAGATCTTTGGGAAGGAATGGTGGTCCCAGGTAGGGGAACAGCATCCCATATGGTCTCTACCCACCCCAAATGTACCCAGCCTGGCTCACACGTGGATGTGGCCCCAAAACACCCTGGAGCTGTGTGGGTTGGGCAGGGAAGGAGATTCAGACGCTGAAATCTGAACTCCACTGTCTGGCACAGCATCGAGGTCAAGGGCTCACACACGGATGTAGCAGGCTGTGAAAACCTGAGGGCTGATTTAAAGGACACTTTGTGGTCCCCACGGCAGCTGGGTGACAGAAGGTGTGAATGATCCTCAGCCAGAACAGGAACTGAGAACCAACAGCTGCCCTGGACTCGGGAACACAGCAAAGAGGATGAGCTACAGAAGAGAATCAGGGAACACTGTCCTGGCTGCTGGCCAGAGCCTGACTTTTACAAGCCTTTGCTCAGTTTTCTCGAGCCAGTGTTTTGCTTTTGAAGAGAAGCTTCAAGAACACGTCCCTGAGAGCTGAAAGGAATGAGGAGGGTGGATGAGCCCCAGGGCTGTCCCCTCCACACTGCACAGTCATGGCTGGAGGTTGTTGGGGTTGGGATAACACCATCAGCAAAGGAGCCAAGGGCAAAGGCCTCTCAGGGATGAGGGGCTGGTCCAAGCTCTGACTTTTCTCAGTTTGCTCTGCCTCAGTTTCCCCATCTCAGGGTGTTCCCCTGCCCCCCAGGGCCTCCAAGCCCTGCTGGTCTCTGCCTGTTCCCCATTGCCAAACCATCAAGGCTCCCCTTCCTTCCCCACAAAGCACTACACAACAGCTCTAAGCACATGGTTATCACAGATAAAACCCATCACCTTGCTCGTGAAGGGACTGACAGGCTTTAATTAATTAACAGCCTAATGATGTTTTGAGGTCCAAGAACAGAGGCACCATAAAAATGTATGTCACTGCCATGCTACCCTTCAAAAAAAAAAAACAAAAAAAACCAAAAAAAACCAAAAACCAAACACCTCTCTATCCAGGAGCAATATTCCACCTTCACTGGTTGTTGCTTAGAGGAAGGTGGAGTAGAAGGAAAGGTTCCTCCTTTGGGAAGCCAGGAGCACACTCCTGTGTGGAGACAGATTTAATATCCAATTTCAGTTAGCCCCGACCTAAAATTGATTAATTTTTAGTATGCAAAACCCATAGGTTACCAATAAACTGGAGAACAGATGATTTATATTGTATTGGATCCACATCATGGCTGCAAATAGCACTGACACAACCAAGAACCTGCAGGTCCGAGGGTGCCCTGTGACCCCTCAGTGTGGCCACCTCAAACTCATGTCAGCTCCCTGATCCCCTAATAAAGATCTCAGCTTCCAAATCCCATCCCACTCTGCAGATCCCAGCAACATCCCAGCCTGTGCCAGATCCATCAAGAGCCCACATCCCTTCATCTCCCATCCCCTCCTAGTACTTAAACAGAGCTTGTTCTGATGTAAAAATCCTCAAATTATTTTTTTCACATCCTTTCAGCTTTGTAGTGTTTTAAGTCTTCACACATATTATAAGCGTGATTCCTCCTCCTTTCCTTTCCAGGCCACTTAATGAATGAATAATTTAGAAAACAGGTGAAATATTTACAAAGGGTAAAGAAGCCAACACTGTGAAAGGCACGAAGGTCTCTGTGAAACCACATTAGCTGGGGACATCCTGAACCAGTGCAAGTCCTGAATGAACTCACCTGCTCCCTGGGAGCCAGGCTGGAAAACCCAAGATGCACATTTCTGGTTAGAAGAATATGCAGCTGTGAGAGCAAGCTATGGAGGCCCACGGATGCTATTTATTGTCCTGCTGCAAAAGCATCCCCAAGGAGACAGACATTCTCTGTTCTCCAGACTAGATGAAGAGGAAAAACCCAACATTCTAACCTGGAGGTACTGGTGGGTTTTTGAGAGCCAGAGGTGCAGCCCCAGTGTGGCACCTGCAGCTCTGAAGCCAACACAGCTCAGTAAGAACCTCACCTCCCAAATCCTCCCCAGATATCCCATGGGATTTAAACCACTGCACACAACAGCATCCCATCCCTGGAAAGGCTTTGTTTTCACATTAATTTAGTCGTTTTCCCTCTTCCCCAGGCTTCATTCCCAAATTCAAGCCCTACCTTCTCTCCCATTTCCCGTTTTCAATCCCTCTCCAGGCACCACTCCTGACAAGACAGGAATAAAGGGATCAGGCAGCAGGTTTAAAAATCTATTCAAGGTCATTTCCTTTCCCTTTGTAATTAAATTGTGGAACTCATTGTCAGGGGATGTTCTGGCTGCCAGAAATACCTATGGCTTCAAAGCAGGACTGGAAAAGCTCACAGAGGACAGGTCCAGTGGTGGCTGTTAAACACAGGGATCTGGAGGAAGCATCCTGATGGGAAAGGCCCTGAAACTCTGTCCAGAAAAGTCAGAATCATGCCCTGTCCTCTTGGCATCTTCTTCTGGCCTTTCTTGGGTGGGTGAAGCTTTGCTCTGAGCCAGCCTGGCAGTTCTGTTTTCTCCTTGTTTGCACTGCTCAGGGATGGTGGCAGCTCCAGTCCTTCCCCCAAACACACAAATCCCCTTAAACACTCAGGCACTGCTCTTTCCACTGGGAATTTCTCCTCATTACAGCACAGCTGTGCTGCACCACTGCTCTGCCTTTCCCCTTGCCTCTCACAGGCTCTTTCCCTTCCCCCTGAGAAGACATTTCATGCCCTCAGTACAATGCACTGATGTGTCAAACCTCCCCCAGCAATGGGGTGAGGGTCAGGACAGTGCTGTTCCAGCATGGGATAATGAGAGTAGACATGAGCCAGATGTTAAAAGGGAAGGTCCCATCCTACCCAGCCCTTGTAAAACAATTTCCTGAGCTCCAGCTCATCTCTTGCACCATGTCAGTGTGGTCCAGTCTAGCCCTGGACTGGAATTTGGGTTCAGCTCCATCACTCCTCACTTGGGTGCAATCCTACTGAACCTCTGAGTGCAGGAGTTGTTATCCCAGTGCAAGGATGCTTTGGCCTCCAACCTTCCCCCACAGCTGCAGCAGATGTGAGAGGGCACAGCCTGGCTGAGCTCTCTGCCAGGGAGCTGGGGAACACCTGCCATGGGCCAAGAGCTCCTGCAAGAACAGGCCAGAGAGGAGCTGATGCACTGTAGCTTCCCAAAGAGAGGAGCTCTGCCAAGTCCCAGGACTCATTCCCATCCAGACAGCACTCAGCACAAAATAAGAGTCAGCTCTTGCATCACGAAGGTGCATTAAAGTGCTCAGACCTGTAATTTACTCTCACTTGAGGCTACAGTGCAAAGCCAAAGTAGTACGAAGAGTATCTCTGCTACCCCCAAAAAAATTATATACATGTAGGAGTGTCTTCTGTTATTTTGCATTCACTTTATTACTGAGTGCACCACATTCTGGGCACTTACAGCCTCCATCAAGCTCCAGGCTCTGCAAAGTCAGGTGCTGATGGTGAAGAGAATTTTGTTCACATTAATGCTGTTAAGGGTGTTACAGTCACTTGTGTTGTTCCACAAAAAGCTTTTACAGGTCAACAAGGGGGAAAAGACAATGCATATACATCACTTTTAATGTCATTAGAAGATGAAACACATCTGTTGAGGAATATTGTATCAGATTAAATCTCTCACTTATCACTTGGAAAGAAGCACAAAGCCAAGGTCCCAATTGTTGGGGTCACCAGCAGCTGCACAAGCACTTTTTATCAGCCTGAAGCAGACAGGTTTGGGGCTTCAGCCAAACTCCAGCTCAGCCCCCTGCCTTTCCAAAGGCATGGAGAATCATTCAGCAGCAGGAGCAAAGCAGGACCCTCAGACCCTCCCCAAATGCTGTTCACTCCCTGGGACTGCTTATTTCTTTTCCTTCCCCACACCTGCAGTGGAACCTGCAGGCACTTGGTTTCTGAGGAGATCCTGAAAGCTCCTCCACACAGAGCAATTTTGCTGCTTTTTCCTCCTTTTTGATGCTAAACAAGTCAGCAACCTGTGCAGAGAGCTTTGAACCTGCTCGTTCCCCTGCATCAAAAGTCAGACTCACAGGTGCAAAGCTGTCTTGGGAGACTTAAAGGATAAAGCTCTGTAAACACCAGGGGGAAAGGAAAGAAAAATATGGATTGTTATTAATTCGGTATTCCTCCTGCACTGGGAGATCCCCAGCTCACAGCTCTGCTGGAGCACAACACCTGAGGAGCATCCCTGGATGGGACAAGGAGATGTCAGGAGAAGCAGGAGGGGTCCTGGAGTCATTAAAATCCAGGTTATAAGGCAGAAAAGCTGTGCAGGGGGGATTTCACAGCTGCAGCTGAGGAATTATTCATTCCTATATAACAATAAGTTTCCACAGGCAGACAAACCCTCCGGGGTCTCTTACGAAGCAGACTGTGCACAAAGAGGAATGTGGCCCTAAAATGTTTATGATTTAAGAAGCTACAGTAACTTCAAATAGACCAAATACATACTTGAGGATTAAAACCTCCACAGTTAAAAAAAAAAAAAATGAATCCAAGCCTTTTAATTAATTTAAAAATAGTTTTGTTGGCGTTCCACTTTAGTTGATTAGATTATCCCACCAATATTTCCACAAACGTCTGCAACCATATAAATATTCCATGTTTCTGTTTGAAAATCTCTGTATTTTTTACCACCCAGTGTGTGACACAGCCAGCCCAACTCCGGGTTTAGAGATAAACAGGGTGAAAACTAACTTTGGCAAACACCTCCCCAGCAGCACACAGAACCCTGGCACTCATACCCTCCTGACAGATATATCTGCGTGGCACCTCTCAGGAAACTGAATTGTTTTGTCAGCAAAATGCTTTCACTGGAAGATCAGGACACCTCACACGGGATGGGAATTTATGAGCAGATTCCAATTTTAGTCTCTATCGACCATGGCCTAGCAGAGAAAGGGATTATGAAGAGCCACATGAATAATATGAACTCTAATCATCTGCTGAAGGCTCTGCGTGCTCCGATTCCTGCAAAAAGTAATTAAACTCACAAACTTTGCTCGGTGCTTCGGGGAGTTGCAACTAATGAATGAACACGTTAATTTATGGGAGATTTAAGGCTCTTCAGAGAACACCCTGAGCAGGAACCATCCTTCCAACTGTTTGTGTTTGGGCTGTAAAGTTGTGCTGTGTGAATAACCAGCAAGAAAGCAGAGATGAGCTGGGGATGAGCTCGGCTAACACCCCTTGGTCACATCCTACCTTTCCCAGTGGGGCTCCCAGTGAGCAAGACCAGGGAGAACAGGGTCAAACCTTTTGTTTGAGGAACAGCCAGGTTTGCTCATTGCTGAGCAGCAAAACTTTCAGTTCCTGCTGCTCCCAGAGATCCCAGGCAGGTGCAGCAGCACAGCCCTGCCTTCCCTTCCTGGCCACCCCAGGGTGCAGCAGCACAGGGACTTTGTCCAGCCTGCAAGGAACTGATCTGCCCAGCCACAGGAGCTGCCTCCTGCCTGCACATTTGTCTGGCACAATTAACTTACTTCGAAGCAAAATCCATTGCTGCAAGGCATGCAGCCTTCCAGAGCCTTCTCCCCTCCAGACCTTGCCTGCAGATACAACAGGTCCTCCTCTCCCAGGTCACTGCAATTAATTCCTCATGCTCCCGGGGCCAACTTCAGCTTTGGCAGGAATGGCTGTGACCTCCAACCTCCTCCTTCCAGAGCCAGCTTGTGCTGAGCACCCACTGAATGAATACCCAACCAGTGGGTGCAGCTGAGCAGGGCTCGTCACCCCCAGCCATGGCTCACCCTGCCTGGGAGAAGAAAAGGGAATGGCCAAGTCCAGAAAAGCCATTTTCTGCTTAATACAGGAATCACAGAGTAGGTGATAACACATCTGCTCCAGTGCCATCAGCTGCTGAAAGCTGCTGGAGGGAGGGGAGCTGGTGAGGACAGTGACAGCCTCCCTCCCTCCCTCCCTCCATGCAGGTACATCGTGTACAAGCTGCAGGGCTTGGATCTCCTGGGAGGTTTCCCAGGGAGGTGGCAAATCCACATGGCCAACCTCACTGCAAAATGCAGCACTTTTTTTGTTGCAAAGTCAAACCCCAATTTCTTTGCAGCAGGTGTAGCCACGGTGTAACCGGGTCCTTCACTGGTGTGTGGAGGGAGCTGCAGCTTCACCTCACTGAGCTTGGGCAGAGCTACCAAAGCTCAGCCCAACCTGGGATAAATGTGGTAAAGTTATCCTTCCTTTCTCCCTCATTTACAGCACTCTTACACCAGGGGGGAAGACAGAACAGAAGCAAGGAGATGCCATCAACAACAGCACAGTCAACCCATAATTCAGTATAAAAATGCTTGGAAGTGCATCCTCCCCTCAGAGGCAGAGGAGTGCCCTGCATCTCCTGGGAGCAGCAGCCACAGCTCCCAGCCCTGCCCTGGGCACTCACAGCCTCAGGGATGGTCTTCACCTTTAGGGGCAGCACAAGCATCAGGCCCAGGTTTCTCTCCAAGCATGCAGGAGTGATTTTTAAACTGCTCTAATCAATCCCCAGGCCGAGAGATGCACTCAGAGGGAGACTCTGGGCACCCACAAGAGGTAGAAGACAGAGCAAGGAGGGGCTCACACTGCTGAGATGAAATGCTCTCCACACAGGGAAGGGACCCATCCTTCATGGCTCGGCACACAGGCAGCAAGAGGCATTTTTACAACTTTTTTTTTACTTTTTTTTAATGAGAAAGAAAAGGAAGACTTGCTTTGGAGGGTTTCAGGCTATTTTATATCTAAGCCTGTGGCAAAAATCTGGAATGAAAACTTTCATCAGTAACTCCAGCAGGTGCCCAGGGCAGTTCCTTTCAAGATTCAGCTCCTCCAGCCGAGCAGCAAAGGGACAGACCCGTTAACAAAGGCGCCTTTTATCCACGGTGTTAATAAACACTAACTGAAAGTGTTAATAAAAAGAAGCTTTCCAGAGCCTGAGCTATGACCCCAGCTCCTCTCAGCTCTTTGCATTTTCAAACTTGGAGATGAAGCAAAGCCCCAACGAATCCCAGGATTCATTCCCAATACACATTCCTAATTCTTCTCCTACTCTAAACAAACACATTTAAATGCAGACTTTTATTCAACACAAACAGCAAAGTATCTTTGTTCCTCTCTCACTCACTTGAAAGGCCATGCAGAGGAAAGGAGACAAGAGAAGAAAACTCTTTGACAGCCTGCAGCCAGCAAGTCCTGCTCCTCTCATTGCTCCCGAGCTTGGTTCCAAGTTTAATAAAGGTGTTTTGTCTCCTTGCTTAATAAGTGGAATTACCATAGCAGAAAGCCCAGCGGGGGAAAGGGATAGCACGGAGCATGAGTAATCACAACTGGTTTCGGGCAGGTTTTGCCATTTGGGTCCTGTTTCAAGGTTATGATGACATAGTGCTATGGGCTGGTTTGGAGTTACCATAACTCCTGCCAGACAAGGAGTTGTAAGTTACAACGTGCTGCAAGCAGGGAGAGCTGCTGGGACAGAGCAGGGAAAATGTCATTTGAGCTGGGAAGGGAAGTTTCCTGTTCCTTACGTTTTATTCCATTATTTTATAATGCAGCCTTGCACTTGCCCTGCTGTACTTTGCACAGGACACAGTGATGCCTTTACCTCCAGCTCACAGCAAGTGGCTTAAATTTCCACATTCAGAGCTTGTTTCACACCTTTGCTGTCACCCTGCACCTGCCAAACTGGGTCGCAGATGCTGCAACCAGACAATATTTGCTGGCAAATCCATGGAGGAGAAGCCAAGCTTTCAAAGAGGGAACTGATATGGGTCAGGAGACGTCATGGAAAAAGACACCTGGATGGAGAAAGCCCTCACTTATCACTGGAAACAGGGGACAGATCCAGTATCATCTGCTGAGGGGGAGCAGCAGCACGGTGCAGCTCAGCTGTATTCCAAAACCTCCTCCAGCAAGCAGCCATGCCATGAATTTAAAGAGCATAAATCCCCCTGCACAGAGGGCAGAGCCCACCTGCAGGGCTTCGAGAGCAGCTGCCAGCCCCTGCCTCACCTCTGCTCTGAGCCCCAAGCCCTGCAGCAGATGAATGACTCCAATCAGGGCTGAACATCAGTTTTTCATTCCTCTCTCCTTAATTACTGTGGATGGACACTGCAGCTCCATCCAGTCCCCGCTCCTGCCTCAGCCACGAGGTATTCACCTGGATTTATTTCCAGCAATAGCTCTCCTACCAAAGGGAAATGTTTCCATTAAACAGCACAAGTTCAGCAACCACAAACAAACAATAACTTAAAGCCTAAGCCAATTCTCTGAGACTTCCACAATAAAAAAACCAGGTCATCCAGGGAAGTACAACAGGCAACAGCCCTGTCCCACCCAAATCCTCTGTAAATAGCAAAACCCTTAGAAGTGTAATGGGAAGGATGGAGGCAGCCAGGGAGAAGGGTTTCAGGCTCCCTGTGCAGCACTCCCCATCTCACCCACAGCTCAGGCACTAGGCTGAGACCCAGTCTGAGCCAAGATGCTGAAACCAAAGCAGTGATCTGCAGTCAGAGCTGAGCCCTTCAGCAGCACCAAGGGGAATTACCCTCGACAACAGCAGCACACTCAGAATGGGGCTGGCAAAACCAAGCCTGATCCCAAGCCACAGAAATGCTCCAAACCACAGAGCTTCCTCTGCAGCCAATGGGTCAGCTAGGAGAGGTTTGTCAACATTTCTATCTTGACCATTTCCTCATTTTTGAGGGCCTCATAATAACTGTTTTGACATTGCAGGAGGAGGAGTGGTTCCTCCTCTTCCACCAGCTCTTCTGTCAAAACAAAACACGGTGTAAGGAGGATCTGAGCCCCACCTGCAAAGAGGCATCCAAAATCCTACAGAGCCCAGGGAGACAGCCCTGAGACTCTACTTTGACAGGGCCAATATTACACCCACTGAAAATATAAATATATCACCTGGAATTACAGATACTCAGGTGGGAGAGATGTCAGCTCAAAGGTGAAGCTCATGTACAAAGCTCAGGTACATCCTGACAGTGGACACGGGATCCTCACAGGGATCACAAAACGATGGGTAGTGAAGCAGAGAGAGCATCAACTCTCCAGTCCATAAACTCGAACTCACCACCCACTCACCTCCTGGAAAGCTTTTAAGGGGTTTGTAAACCAAAAATCAGGGATAGCCACTGCTCCAGGCATCCCCTGACACCAAACTGAGGTGCTCTCCTGTCATTCCATCCATCCCAAACAGAGCTCACTGCCTTCCACAGGGATGTCAGTACCACCCTTGTAACTGACTGTCCCTTCAGAGACTGGTCCATTTGCTATTTATCTTTCATTTTAAATGGATTAGACATGTACAAAAGCCTCCTTCGAAAAGGAACAACCAAGATGTGAAAAGGATGGGAAGATTCAACTGCCAGGCATCAGCACTAATCCACGTCAAAGGGCACGCTGTCAACAACTCACTGTAAACTTCCAGGAGGAAAAAAACACCCAGAATAAAATAGTTAAGACCAGATAAATGTTTGTCATTCATTATCCAGAGTCAAACTTGGATTTCTCAACAACACAGCCAAGCCAAAGCAAGCACATTACTAAGAGAACATCTTTTCCAGGGAGCTCCATGCCAGGCGTGCAGCCTGCCCTTGAAGGGAGAAGGGCTGGAGGCAGGTGAAGGCTCTGTTTGTCTTTCTCCGATAACAGGTATTTAGTTTTCTACGTCACTTCACTTTATCATAGCCTGAAACCTGGCCAAGCACCCAGCTCCACCTTCCCATCTGCTCCCTGTGCCAGCTGGCCCTGTGGCCCAGGGGATGCTGAGCCAGCCACGGAGATGCCACACAGCCCAACAGCTCCCCAGACCCAAACTGGGACACCCCCAGCCCTGCCCGGGAACTGGGGCATTGCTGGGAAACCCCACAGGACAAATCTTAACGTGACATGGATGTTCACAGTGCTGGGAGCACTCATGTCCAAGTCAGGTGGGGAGCTGGAAAACATGGCAAATCCTTCCCAGATCCTTCCTCAAGTTTTGGGACTGGGGAAAAAAAACCACTGGCCTTGGCAGGGAAGGGCAGAGCACAAGCTGGGGAGGCTCCAGCAAAGACAGTGCCTGTGTTGGCAGCAGGTGAGCAAACACCCAGCCCAGGCAGGAGCCAACAGGTCAGAGTGCTCCATTCCAACCCCAATCACCTTCCAGCCTGGACAAACCACTGGAGCACATCCTCCTTGGGTTCCTGACTGCACCCAGCCCAGCTCCCCAGCGAGCAGGCTGCAGTGTGGGGTGGGAAGGGGGGCATGGCAGTACCTCCTCCCACCCCACAGGCACTGCCAGCTGGGCATTGTGCAAGCCCGTGTCCCTTCCCCAGCCAGGAACGCTCCAAACCTGCAGCACGACACAGGTGTGGGTGCCTCTGCCCCATTAGTCACACATCTGCCATCGAGATGTGCTTTGGGGATGCAGCTGGGGTTGTAGGAGCCTTATCCCAAAATCCTGCTGCTCCCTCAGAGCCCAACACGGTGCATTCATCCTGGTTTTGTCCCCCCAAATAACTGCTCGAGTAAGCATGGCTATTTTGGGGCAGAGAAAGAACACCCTAAACCCCAGTCTATAATTTTTGCTTTGTGACGAAAGGCAAGAGCTTTAGCTAACAGAAAAAAAATATACATAATATATACATATACCTACACTTTTCTTTTTTTTTTAATAGAGAGAAGGAAAATGGAATCATTGAAGTTTTCACAGCCCAAAGACCTTTGAAAAATTCGGAGGGAAGGAACAGAACATCAAGTTTAAACTGTTTTCAATGGAAAAGCCCATTAAAGGAAAACGGATCTTTTGCAGAAAGATATGTATTTTGCTGATTTTGACAAAAAGGACTGCTCAGAGGAGGGGAAGAAAAGCTTTCATTTGAAGGTTTTGAGCATTGCTTTTGCACCTTTACAGCACTGCTCATGAAAGCATCCTCACAGACTGGCATTGCTGGAACACAGCATGCCCAGAGAAAAGGTAGATCTGACTACGTGCAGGGCTTTGGAGACAACTCATGCCTGTGCCATGAAAATGAGCAGTTATTACAAAAGGCAGGAGACAAAAAAATATATATTAAAAAAAATCATCAACTTCCTTCCCTTCCACTAGGCCCCTGGGAAGGGGAAATGCTGATCCTCCAGCTCACAGATGGTTCTGCTGGAACAAGCTCCTGGTTTCCACCCTGTCAGCCCACATCTAGTGCTGGGGCTGGATTTTGGAGGAGGGATGAAGGACATCAGCCTCCCTCCTGCACGTCAGCACCAGCAGCACTGCACATGCCATGGATGCACTGTGGGATGCAGTGGCTATTTCCTGGGATGAAACACCAGCTCTGCCCACAGATCCCTCCCCAGCCACGACCACATCTCACACCACAGGAGAGGAAGCTGTGGGTCCAGCACTCACATCCCTGACAATTAAAGTCATCTTCTTAATATCAGCCAGTCCCAGCCATCCTGTGACAGGCCACAGAAAATATGAATTACATCCTCACCAATTTAGACTGGTTTTCTTCTCATTCAGGTGTTGCTGGACCCGAGTGCCATTTGGTGACAGTCACAGTCTCATTCAGCAACTGCACAGAAAAAGGATTGAGCATCACCTGAAAGGTTGTTGCTCCACCTTGTATCTTAAAATTTCCCACAAGTGCATACACAGGGATGAATTTAGAATAATGTCACCAACAAAGCACTCAAATTAATAGCAATAAAGTGCAAGTGCTCCACGTGGCAGGCAGAGCCCTGCTGGGGAAAACGACCTGTGAAAGCTGAAAAAGCAGCCCACGATGAGACCACTGGGAGAGAAAAAAAAAAAAAAAGCAACAAAACAAACAGTCCATTTCAATCTCCTCTTCGTAAAGAGCCAAAATGAACCCAGGAACACATCAGAGAAAAATCATTTAGCACAGATCAAACAGGAGAACTAGCATATTAAAAATACATGCAGCATTAATCAGCTACACAGAGTTATGTGCCATCATTTCCATAAATAATACAGGATCAAAGCAGCCCAAGCAGCACTATCAGTTAATACAGTCAGCCAGTCAGTCAAAATAGAGTGAAGCTGCCTGAAAACTGTGGCTGTATGAATTGCCAGGAATAAAAAAGATTCATGTGAGAAGTGGCACAACCAGTTAAACGGGTAAAGGTTACCAGCAGCCTCATCATTAGAGGGAGGTGATGCCAAAAAGGAGAGGGGGGGAAAAAAAAAAAGGAATGAAAGGTTAATGCAGCCTCAACAAATTATTAAAAAAATACCTAAACAACTTGGGGAATATCAATATATCTTGTCTAGAGGTAACCCCAAGAAAGGCCAAGGTGGGGGACAGGTGGGAGGACTGACCCTGCTGGGAGCATCCCCAGGGGCTGAGCCATGGGGTGCAGCCCACCCAGAGCCCCTTCTCGAGGGCTGGGGCAGTGCCAAGGGGCTCCCCTGTGCCCAGGAAAATCCTCCCCGCTGCAGAAACCATCCTGCCTGCTCAGGGTGAAGGCTCAGCACCAACAGCCTTTAAACATCCACCCATCCATGCATAGAAAATGCCTGTGTCATTAGGCCTTTTGCTGGAAGGCTGCAGAGCCATTTAGCTGCCCGATTTTTAAAACAGAGCGTGTGGAGCAGAGCTATAAATAGCAGGGATGCTTGCCTCGTCATGTTTCTGGGGGCTTATTTATAAGGATAGGGGGCAACTGAATTAAAAATTGTTAAAAAAGAAGTGTCTCAGGCTTCTCTGCTTTAAAGCCAAGTTGCCAGAAGAGAAAAACCTTCAAGGTTTTTGCTTTTTTCTTTTTCCAGGCAAAAAGCAAACGCCCATCACTCATGCTCAGACTCTGAATCGGTTACATTTAAAAGGCAAATTTTAATTCATACAGCAGGTGTTCAGAAATAAAAAAAAAATCCTCCTTTAAGCAGCACAAGACCAAACTAAGGCTTTGCATTAGTTCATGCAGCTCATTCACTGAAATAGGACCCGTGTGTGTGAATGAGGAGCAGAGACCTCAAAAATCTCTTCCAGAGTTGGGGCAGGGTGGGGGGAAGCCCTGCAGGGCTGGAGCAGAGCTGCTGCCAAAGCCGGGGGCTGGCAGCCTGCATGGCATCCCGAGCCTGCTGCAGCTTGGGTGACACAGGGCGACAGGAATTCTGCACGGGAAGGTCCAGAAGAATTCAGCCTCCAACAAAAGAGCCGCTTGGGGCAGCCCCATCGGTGCCCAGGCAATGACAGCCCCGGCAGTGTTTGGAGGGGCTATTCTTTACAGGAAAAGCCCCGGGAAACCACACGGATCCAGCAGCCCCCTCCCTGCTCCCTGCCTTTATTAAATACCCAGAGAAAACAAGAAGAGACAGCCAAGCTGCTCCAGCCCCCCCAGCACCAGGACAGCAGCCAGCTGGGATGCAGGAGCTGGAGCATTCCCCCTGCATCCCTCCGTGCAGGGATAGGAGCCATGAGTGACCCTGTCAGAGAGGTGACAGCCTGCCCTGCTCCTCCAGGAGTGGCAGCTGCCAGCACCAGCGCCATCGGGAAGTTTCCTATTGAACAAGGGGGAAAATGTTCTGCCAGACAAACGAGGTTCAATTATTCCAAGTCTAGAATGTGTTGTTGGAAATGCTTCCAGACTGACAAGCTTTAATCCAATAAAAGACCCTTCCAGACAAGCCCTGCTGTGATTTTGGGAGCATTTCCCCCTGGCAGGGACCCAGCAGCCCCCAGCCCCTCACTGGGGATGGATTTAGCCCCAGGCACAACAATCTTACAGGGCAGCCTCAAGGCACAGGACACTCGAGCTCACTGGAAGCTTAAGCAAAGCAAGAACAACCATTCCATTTCAGTCTGACACAATCCAAAAGTCAAAATATATAAAAAAAGGCAAATAATTTCCTGTGAACCAGAAATCTGGGTTTTAGCCAGTTTAATGAGACTGAAGTGCAACTGGTTCTGTTCTCCTGGGGTGCTAGAGACACACGACTCCCCAAGGCAGGGCAGATGGCTGGATTGCAATCTAGCCCTCAGCTCGTAAAATACATTAATATCCCCAACCAATTATAAAGTGCCAGACTCTGTCCCTCCGGGCCCACTCCCACCCAGCGATGCACAAGGCAGCCCTGTTGAGCTCACACATGAAGCACCTGCCTGGGTAACCCAGCCTGTAGCTTTCCAGGACTTTCAAAGCAAGTCCAAGCCTTTGCTCCATCCTCATCCAAGAGCTCAGTGAAGTCTCAGGTGCGGTCAAGGTGCTGGACAAAAATCCAGCTCCTCAACACCATGTCTTTATGTTTTTTTTATGTCAGAGGTAAAGCAGAAGGAGCCTTCCCTTCCAGCCAGACGGCTGTGAAAGGATCCCTGCCTTCAGCACCCGGCCTTGGCACGGCTTTATTCCCAAAGCTGGCAGATGCTTCACACCACCACGGAGAGCTCGGCTGCTTCTTGGAAGCACCAGCGAGCACCTCAGATCCACAGCAGCGCTCCCTGACAGTCAGCTGGCACCAGCTCCGCAAATGTCACCAGCACAGAGCCTCAGCCCTGGCGATTTACAGGGCTCTCGTCAAAAAAAGCCCTGGAGTCTTTCCCCTGACTTCAGCAGAGCTTCACATCCTGAACCTCAACTCCTCAGGAACAGCCTGTTCTGTGCTCCTGTGCCCACAGCCACGGGCATGGCATGTCCTGGATGTCCCCGTCCCCATGCTGTCACCTGCAGCAGTGAGGACAGACCTGGGGACAGGCTCGATGCCCACCATCACCACCACCCAGGTGGGCAGATCCCAGGATGCTGCAGCCACCTGCAAGGCCACATTGGAGTGGCACAATGACCACAGTCCCCTCGGGGATGGGGTGACACTCGGTGCAGCCCGTGACACCAACACTCCTTGACCACAGCAGTCCTGTCCCCCCGGCACAGCTGGGTGCCTCAGGGGGAACAGGCAGCACCAGGAAGGTGCTCCAAGGGCAGAACCAGTCACGGTCCCATCCCACACTTGGCCACACATTTCCCAGCTGTGTGGACAGGCACAACCTTTGCACCCTGTGCAAACCCCGGTCTGTGTCGCAAGAGTCCCTTTGGTGACACTCCAGCACTGTCCCACCCGTCCCAGCCACCCTCGCAGGGACACTGCCATCAGCAGAGGGACTGCGACATCTGCCACCACGCAGCCTCAGACTTTTTTTCAGTGCCCCAGGACCTTTGCTCCCCACAGGCTGGTGTTTGGGTATGACCAACAGCAGCCAGGTAAATAACATCACCTCACAGTGGTGGTGCCATTTTCCAAGTGGCAGCTCAGTGGTGATATGCCTGAATCTCAGCTATCATTTAAAATAAAAACAAAATGCAAAACCCCAGCAGAGAGAAGATAACAAACAAGACCCTCAATGTTCTACAGATCCTCCCAGCAATTTCCTGATTTTCATGAGCATTGCTAAGTCCTAGAATCTCAGTCTTGAGTCAGGACAGTTGGATGCATCTGATTCAAGAATGATTCAGATGGGAGTGTGGAGGCAGGGGAGAAGGCAAGGAAGTGACATTTTCTGCTCTGGGCAACATGTCTTTATTTAAAGCTCAAAGATACAAACTTATTATTTGATTGAAAAAAGGCACTCTGCCCTGGCTGCTCCCGTGCTGATCCTGAGGAACAGGAGCATCCTCCTTATCCTCAGCTTTCACATCCATGCCTTCATTTCCATTTCTTTAAATACATTTAAATCCTGCTAGCACCTTGAACACAAGTTATCTCTGTAACCACATGGAACACAATCCTGAGCCCTCAAACAAGGAAGGCTTAAGCTGCCTTCCCAAGTGATGAGCAGGAGGAAAGCTCCAGCTCACCCTCCCTGGCTCCTCCTGCTTGTTCCCCACCGTGTCAGAGGCAGAGCAGGGGCATTCGGGCAGGTGAACCCATACACAGGTGGGAAGATTTCTTCCACAAGGATCTAATAGCTGGATGAGAGAAGAGGAGGAGTCAGCCAGAGCTGCAAAAGGGATGATGGCACAAGGTCCTGAAACTACCTTCAACAACTCAGCTATTTCTATCCTTCCAGGATTTGAGAGCTCCCAACCCCTCGAGGAGCACAGCCCCAGCATGGCAGGGTCTGGCTGCTGATGGCTCCATGGCTTGGGCCAGCCTTTCCTCTACAACAACACTGTAAATGCTGTGGGAATCCCCCAAATCTGCTCTCACCACAGCTCCTGCACGAACAGGATGCACAGACCTTCCTCCACATACCCTGCACAAAGGCAAAACCCCCCCACCTCTCCAGCTGCATGGAGCCAGCACTCACCAGTCCCCTCCTCAACCTGTCACCTCCCCTGTGCCCATCCAATTACCCAGGTCATCCCAACGCCCCCAGGGATTTGCCAGGCTCCTCTTCACAAGCTAAACCCGTCAGCTAATCCCACACAAATCTGCAGCCACCACCCATGGAGGGGCTCTGGCTGCACCTCCTCCATGTGAGCAGCAGCACCCCAGCCCGAGGTGGCCCCATCAGCCGTCACTGACTCAGCCTCCCCACATTTCCGTGGCAGCGTGTGACACCTCCAGATGTTAATGCTCCCAGCCACCTGCATTTCCGGCCCTGTGGCTGCAGCAGAAATTGTTCATTGTCCCCTCCTGTGTGCTGCAGAGGTGAGGAGTCAGGCCCAATGTCACCTCTGGGAGCTGGTGACCCAGGAAGGCAAGTGAGGCATCACAGGACACCGGGGAGGAGAGAAGGCAACAACTGTGAGGATGTGAAGCATTCAGGACAATCTAAAGACACTGATACCCAGGGTTTGGGTGCAGCTCTCCTGCTGACCCAGCACAGCAAGGCTGAGAAAGAACATTGGGGTTTTTCAGCCCACCCACCTGCTGTGCATGGGGGTGGAAGAGAGTCAGAACAAAATGTCCTTCACAGAAACCCATGTTACCCAACACTGCCCTTAGAACCATATGGAATTGAGGATTTTTTTATTCCCTAGGCAGGCAAAGTCCAACCAGGACCATGCTGGTCACAGTAGCTGCATCTCTGCTCCAACACAAGCATCCACCCAAGCAGCAGCCATTCCCAAGCCAGACTCCCCAGCACAGCTCCAGCTCCTGCTTAAAATGAGACTGTTGGGGATAAAAGGAAGAGGCAGAGCCTCCACAGTGGGCGCTAGAAGCTTTGGCGATAAGGCAGGGGATACTTCTAAGCTTGTCTCCACAAACATAAGGATTAGCAATTTACTTCCCTTAGAAACAAAATCCAGGATTTTAACATGATCACAGGCTTGGAAAGAAAAATAAACATCATGAAACTGGGAAAAGGAGGAGGACAAGAACAGAGCAAGCAGGCAGCTTGAGGAAAACTGAAGTGCATCTTAAATTGGAAAGAAAAATGCACCAAAGTCAGAATTGAAATCCTAGTAGCTCTGAACATTACTGACCCTGAGGCCTCTCACACCAACCTCTTATCAGTGATAATGCTGTGAACATTAAGGGAAGCCTTTCTAATAATGTGCATGAGAAAAGGCCCATTTGTTTAATGCAACAGAGCACATAATGCATTAATTACCTACTGAGTTGGAAAAGTGATGTTGAAAACATGCTTGAGTAAAAGCAAACGGAGGGTTTCAGCTAAGCCCATTATGTCCACTGGCTTTGGTGTGTAGCAGCCTTTGAGAGCAAAGCCCTGCACAAGTCACAGCAGATGGGGCAGCACAGAAAACCCCACAAAACCCACAGAGAGCAGCTCCCACACAGACCACGGCTGTACCATGCACCCATAACACCAGCCCAGGCTTCTCCATCACACAGGGGATGCTGCCAAGCCCAGCATTTCCTCCTGATGCTGTCACATCTACCCTCAGACACCCTAAAACCCACCCAGCCCTGGAGCACAGCAGTGATCCCCCCCTCTGCCAGGGCTAATCTCATCCTGTCACGCTCAGGACTAACAAACTGGCCTCCTGCAGAAAACAATCTGCCCATGTGCTCCTGCCCTGGCCATCACCACAGGGTAAAGGCACCAGAGAGCAATTTTGTGATTAAGTGGCTGTAGCCATTAATAATTAGCACGTTAAAACTTCAAAGGGTGATGTTGGCCTCCACAATACAGACTCAGCACACCCAGGGGTGGTGGTGGGGAGGGCTCATCCTCGATGCTCCCTTTTCCCAAGTGAGAACTGAAGCACAGGGATAAGGGCAGCCCGTGGGAGCACAGGGATTAGACACAGAAGTCCCCAGATTGCCAGCCCTGACAGTTCCAGTGGCAGAAGACATAGAGGATGTTATGTAAGCATCCTACATGGAATCTGGGAGCATCCCAAAGCCTAAACCAGCCACCTCGTGCACTTGTCACTCTGCCTGCAGGACAGGATGCTCTTGATGAAGCCGTTGCAGCCCAGGGTGGGAGACCCAGTGCCAATGGATACTAATGGATACCAATTGAAACAAACACAACGCAGGGGTTAGAGAAGGATGTGAGCTGGAGGAAGTCTGGGATGTGTATGTGGATCCTCTGGTTGGCACCCAGAGGGTCACACTGTGCTGCACTGAGTTGCTCAGTCCATTCTGTCTGGCCATGTCACAAGAGAAGAAATTGCTTTTTCTTTAACATTCAGCTCATCTACCTTTATCAGCAATTCCCAATCTTAAGCTATTCTGTTTCTTCCAGAAAAAGCAAAGAGAGAAACCTCAACAGAAAAAAAGCAAATTAAAGTCTCAAAAACAAGCGACTCTAGATCTTTGGTTGATTTTATTTCTAACCAAATGAAAAAAGTTGATTAATCCCCTTGTTCAGACTGCTAACACTACCAGAACAACAGACTGCATCCCTTTCACATCAGAGGAAGCTCAATATACTTAAGCCAAACATCTTCCATGCAAAGTGAAAAATAAATATAAAACAGGAAAGAATCAGTGCTGTAATATTTGCATATGTCTGAAGATAAAGCTTTGGAACTGCAGAGTGAAGCCAAGTTATCCTGTAAAATAAGTGGACAAAGCTCCATCCTTGGACTCCAACACAGTTTTGTCTATTTAACCTATAGGTAAACTGAAGTCTCAGCTTTGAAGAGCACCAGTGTTTCACCTCCCAGCAAGTGACCAGTGCTGTCAATGCGTGCTACAGCCAGGAGCTTCACCTGAGAGCACAGCCCTCCCATCCACCCTTCACCTCTCTCCTCCTTACACCCTACATTGATAAATCCATTTATTCCTGTTGCCATAGCACCTTCCTCAGCTCTATATAAGCCCCGACCACCGTAGGGGCAGGATGAGGCCTCGCACAGGCTGAGGCACATCATTCCCAGCACAGATGAAGCTGGTGGCTCGTTTCGGCCCTTGCACACCCATCAGAGACCATGCGAGTACCCCAGCACCCACTGAGGCACAAATACACCTCCTGACACTGGTAAGAACACGGGCTCTGGTGGCACCAAGCCATCACTAACCCTGCTCTCTCTGCTGCCGGCACATCGAGGTGGACACCAGGGATGCTCGATGGCTGCGGAGCAACTCGACCTACAAAGTCCCATCGGAGGATGCCCGAGGCCAGCACCCACCCTGTTGGAGCAAGGTGATGGGCAGGACCTATCTTCATCTCCCCCACCGAGAGCACAGCCATGCCAGGGACCACTGCCAGGACGCTTCGGGTAGCCTGGACCAGCACTGCTCCCCCAAAGCGCCGGTAACAGCCCCGGCAAGGCACGGGATGGGCACACACGGCTGCCCCTCCGGACCGCATCCCAGGGCCGGCACAGCCCCGCACCCAGCCCTGCCTGCGGGGAGCCCGGGGCCGGGCGATGCTCCGGGGGTCCCGCAGGTCCCTCCGCCCACCCCGCTCGGGGGTCGCCGCAGCCGGAGGGGCCCGGGAGCCGCCGCCGCCGCGTCCCCGCCTTTGTCCGCCCGGCGGAGGATGGAGCGCAGCCCCATCCCGCTCCCCGCCGTGGTCCCGCTGACACCGCCTCGCCACGGACCCGCGCTGGCCGCTCACCTGCGGGGCCGCCGCCCGCAGCCGCCTCCTCCTCCTCCTCCTGCTCCTCTTCCTCCTCCTCCTCCGCCACCGCCTCCTCCTCCGGTGGCGGCGGCGGCGGCGCCGGGCTGCCCCGTGCGGGCGCGGCGGTGCCGCGGGGCCGTGCGGGCGGCACCGTGCCCGGGCTGCTCTCAACGGGGCCGCCGCTGCCGCTGCCGGGCTCGGCGGGCGGCGCGGCGCTGGCGGGCAGCGCGGCGGTGGCGGCGGCCAGGAGGGCGGCGAGGCACAGCAAGGCGAGCGCGGTGCTCGGCCGGCGCCTCATGGTGCGGCGCGGGGCTCCGCCATGCACTCGCTCATTGACGCGGGCGCTCGCACACGCACCGAGCGCGGCCGGGAGCGGCGCCGGGCGGCGGCGGCTCCTCCCGCCGCCTCAGCCAGCCATGCCGCGCCCGCGCCCTGCGCCCCTCCGGCGGCTCCCGCCGCGCCGCGCCCCGGCTGACAGCGCCGCGCCCGCCCCGCCCCGCGCCGCCGCGACCAATCAGCGCGGCGCCCGCCCTACCTGACGGCGCGGCGCAGCCAATCAGCGGCGGGCGGGGGCGGGCCTGGGGGCGGAGCGCGGCGGGGAGGGGGCGGCATTGTGCGGGCGTGAGGGGCGCCGGGCCGGAGCTCCCGTGCCCCCGGCAGTGGCGGCGGGCGGACGCGCGCCTGCCTTTCTTAGGTGGGGTGTGTGCTCCGTTTGTAAGCAGACAGGGTTTTAAAGGCTTTAACTTTCTGTTGTATTTAACAATTTTATTAAAAAATTAGATTTTCCCCCATCCTCCCCCGCCTCAGTTTTGGGAAACAACGAGGAAGGCGCTGGGGAATCGTATGGGGGCACAAAGCGGTTCTCAGAAAGGAGTGATGCTCCTCGCGTCCCGCTGCAGGTGTCCGCAGGGGTCCGGCAGGTGCGGGGGGGTCCCCGGCATCCACCTGCGCCGGTGCGGGCCTGCGGCAGCGCCGCTCCCTTTGTGCCGCTCCTCTCCCGGGATGCGCCTTTCCCCACCCAGCAGGGATGCGGCCACAAGGACAATGACACCTGCGGGCCCCCCAGGCTGCCGGCACACCGGCAGTGACCTTGGGCAGATCGCCCCGTCCCGGAGGAGCGATGGGCAGCGCCGCGGGGGGAGGAAGCACAGTGACACGGATATTAATTATTCACGGGACCCGGCGGGCTGATCGCCGCTTCGCGCGTGGTGAAGCAAGGCTGGAATGCTCTGCTGGGAAAACGCCGCTCTGATCAACACAAAGGCACGTGGAAGCAGGGCTGGGATGTGCTGGAGGAGCTGGGTGTGCCGGACAGGGCAGCAGCATCCCTGCACATCCCACTGCGGGAAGCTGCAGAGCACCGGGAGCTTGGTGGCTCCCGGCTCCCCGCAGGTGTGTGGCACTGCCAGGTGAGTGTTCGCATCATCTCTTGTTCCTGCAGGAGCCAATGGATGCTGACAAGTGCCCTTTGAGATGGGACAGCTCCACATTCACCCACCACATGGTCCAGGCTGCCAGTCCTTCTCTAACACAATATTTAGGAGTTGCCTACAAGGGAAACACTGCCCAGCATAGCTGCTGTGGGATAATTATTCTGCAATCACTCACTGCTCTTCCCCCATACCCATCCCCTTCTCAGAAATAAATGGGACTTTATTCCTGCATAATAATATAATGATTATTCCCTAACAGCTCTGCTGTGCCATTTCCCCCACGGAGACAAACCCTTCTGAGATCTGCTTTCCATAATCGCCGCCAGGCTGTCACTCCCCACGGGACCAGAGGGTCCCTCTGATCAGGGGAACACAGCTGGCAGGGAGGCAGGAGGGTTTGCTGAGCCACTGTCTCCTCCAGCAGTTCACACAAGGTAGTTGTCTAGGGGAACAGGAAGAAGAAACCGAGCAGAGGAAAGATTAAGGAAAGAATTGCCTGGAACAAAGAAATTCCTTAGTTTGAAATAGAACTTGCACAGCCTCAGGAGCCAAAGGACAGACCCTGTGCCCACCTCTCAGCTCAGGGCTGCTCCCCACAAAGGCCAGCACAGCTGCCAGATCTGCTCATCTGGTTCCCAAAATATTGGGAGGAGCAGGTTAAGCATGTCAGTCCTTCTCTTTATCCTCAGGTGGCCCTCTGCTGTCACCCCGACAAAGGAGGGAGACTGGAAGATCCTGGCAGTTCTTGGGCATCTTTAACCCAGCAGGACCCATGAAAAAGGACTGCCCCCCCTTGGAAGTGGGTTCACATGCAAAAACAGAGACTCATCTGCCCTGCTGGCTGATTTCAGTGCTGAATTATTATGAGAATCAGTACAAAGAACCACAACAATAAAATGTACTGTCTCTGCCGTGTTGTGGGTACACACAACCCAGAGCCTTCATATAATACCACATCCTAGTGGCAGCAGGGGTGGAAAACCTGAGGGATGAATTCCCACCTAGATGAAAACCACTGCCTGCTGCACAATCTGCCAGAAGGCTGAGTTGAAGGCTGGAGAAAGGCTGTGGGAGATGCTGGGCGAAGGGGATGGAAAATATTGGATAAAGGGGATGGAGG